AAGGCCTGGTGTGAGCCCTAGCTGTCAGCACACAAATGCATTTTCCTGGCACTAAGGTGTGGCTGCAGAAAGATCCCCAGCATTAGAAGTCAGGAGATCTGTGTCCTAGCCTGGGAAGGCCCTAACTCTCCCTGAGTCTCTCCTCCTCAAATCTTCCCAGACTCCATTTCTTTCTTTCTCTCCTTTTGAGACAGAGCCTCAAGCTGTTGCCCTGGCATCACAGCTCACAGCAACCTCCAACTCCTGGGCTTAAGCGATTCTCCTGCCTCTACCTCCCAAGTAGCAGGGACTACAAGTTACAGCCATCATTATTGTTTGGCGGGCCTAGGCTGGATTTGAACCCGCCAGCTCAGGTGGATGTGGCTGGTGCCTTAGCCGCTTGAGCCATAGGCGCTGAGCCCCAGACACCACTTCTAAGGTTCTTTCAGCTCTAATTGGAGCAACACTCTTCCCCACTCCTCAGAGGACCTCACTTCCTCTTCCTCTACCTACCTGCAGTGTCCAGTCTCTCCTCTTCAGTTCCAGCTGCTCCATGACTCTTGGGACAGGCAGCCTCAGGCCTGTGCTGCTCTGACTCAGGCAGCCCTGACCTTTGGGATTTGAGGAGGTGGCCTGGGTGGTTTTGTCCCATGAACTTACTCTGACCTTTGGCATGTCCACCTGTCTTTCCATCCCCCACTGCACACACCTGTTCCCGTTCCTTAGGCAGCTCAGGAACTTCAAGGGACTAGATTCCTTCAGATAAAGTAGTAGCTGTGAGGGGCCCTTATCCACAGTCAGGTGACCCAGAGAAACAGTGCAAACAGGGGCAGCCCTTCCACTCTTCCAGCCCCTCTTTGCAACATACCATCCTGGCTGGGAACGCCCCACCCCCATCATCTCCCAGGCTGCACATGCTCAGGCCTGTCTTCGTGGGGGAGACTGTAGCAAACGTTCAGGTACCCAGTGAGGCCACTTAGCAACCCCTCCCCCAGCACCCTCATATTTGGCCCGCTACAGGGATAGGGGTATCACCGCTTCCTCAGACAGCTGCCATGCCCTAACACAGGTTGGGATACATCTCTCTGAAATTTGCCCTAGCTGACTACACTAAAACCAGGGGAAAAAATAACGAGCCCTTCTCCAGCCCCTTAATACAACAGCTCCCTAATGCAACTAGCGCGGGACAAGGGAGTTGGAGCACCTACTGTGTGCCAGGTATTTTAGTAACAACCTCAATGCTTTACTACACCACCGAGAGAAAGACAATTCCAATTTACAAATGAGGAAACTGAAGCTTAGCGAGGTCAAGTGGCAGACACCAGATCACATAGGTAGAAAGTGGCAGTGGATGAATGTTCTAACGGAGTGACTGAACAAGGACGCGTGACTGGCCCGCAGAGCACTGGCTCGCGGAGGCGGCGGGTACAGAGAGAGCGCGGCGCCCGCGGCCGGGTGCCGGGAGAGCCAGCCCCACCTAGGCCCTCTCACCCCCGGGCCCAGGGGAGGGCAGGCTCCCAGAGGCGCGTCCGGGCTCTGCCCCTACCCCGCGGGCCGCCCCGCCCCCGCTCCGCCCCCAGCCCGCCCCGCCCGGGACCGCAGACGGCGCCCGGCGGCGGCGCGAACGGCTGCGAGGAGGGTGGCTCCGGGCTTGGTTCTCACCGCGACTTCCCGCGCAGGGCCTGGCTAGACAAGGACCCGCGGCCTGGGCGGCATTGGAGGATGCGGTCGCGGCTGCGGCCCCGGCTAGCGGCAGCAGGAAGCCTGGCGCCTTGCAGGTAGGAGCTCGTCCGCTGGGCGGGCGCGGAAACTTGGGCCGAGTTTGCGGGCGGCGCGTGGGGAAGGGGCGGGTGGCTCTGCCCCAGGGCGCCCCTGCTGGCTGGCCCTGGGATGGAGGGCGCCGGGCCTGGGCCAAGGTGCTGCGGCTTCTGGCAGCTGGGGTGGGGGGGCCCGGAGGGCGGACTGCAGGGCAGGGGTCGCCTCGTTGCTTTTGACTGGCCCCGGACTTCGAGGTTCCCGGGCCTGGTAGGCTCTGGGGCTCTGGCATGGCCCGCGCGCCTGGTCTGAAACCTGTTCAGACTGAGCCCTCGGGCCTCGCGTGGGGTCCGGCTCACGTGGATTGCCAGAGCGGCGATGGGGTAACCGGCGATTGGGTCTGGGGAAGAGCGGGCACTGAGGCCCCCGGGGCCCTGGACGCGCCCTGCTGGGACGGGACGGCCCTGCGGTTTCCTCGCCATCACTTGACTCACCCTCTGGCCTCAGCCCAGGCTGGCGGGATCGCCCAGAGGCGGTGGCTGCCGGGACTCTGCAAGCCAGGCCGCCCCTTGACCCGGGACCTCCCGCCAGTCTGCAGCGTCCATCCGTTTGTGGGTGCGCCAGCCTGTTGTGTGCACCCAAGTGCCCGGGGCCCGAGTGAGGGGAGATCACAGTTCTGAGCTGGTATGTGTGCAGATGTGAGCCTTGCACGTACGTGCAGGCATGGGTTTGCATGCGTGGCGGCGGCCTGTGTGTCAGCCTGCTGGGGTGCACGTGCGCCCCAGCGCGGCCGGGAGGGGCTCAGAGACACCCGGAAGCCCGCAGGGTCCGGAGCGCGGCTGTCCCAAAGCGAGGTCGGCTGTGAGACACAGGCACCAGAGTTAACAAGCTGGGCTGGTAGAGGGTAAAGGGTAGAGCCTGATCCCACGACTCGTCCCCTTCCACTAGAGACTGTGGGCTGCTCCAGATTGGGTCGTAGTGTCTGGAGAGCTCGGAACCTCAGCTAAAGGTATGAGGATACCTGTGGTCAGGTCCAGCCCTCCAGGATAGTCCAGATGCTGGCCACAACTGGGTGGCAGTCACACTCTTCTTCCTGGTCTTTCCTGAAGTCCATTCAGAGGGCCCAAGGAAGTGAAAGTGGAATTGGGCTATGGAGTTGTTTCCTCTGCTGTACAGGGTCAATGCACAGGTGGTGGGCTCTTCTGGACCCTGCCCTGTTCCCTGGCCGAGTTTGGAGTTCAGTTGAGAAGACTAACAGAACTACCTACCACAAGGGTGATGAGAGCCCGCTCCCTGGGGCTCTGCCCTCTCCCAAGTGCTTGCCTGCCTCCTCAGTATGTGGGTCAGGGAAAGAGGCACCTACATTTTGGTTAGTTTTGAATAGGGGAGGGTAATCCTTGAGAGTGTGTATAGTGGGTTCTCCATCTCCTGGCAGGAGATAAGGTCACCCCCACACACCTCTCAGAGTTCTCTGTTGGCTCCTTGGAGCCCCATCCCTGTCCCCAAAGACTCCTAAGGGTCCCAGGAGGCTTTGTGTCTATAAGCTGGATCCCGAGGGCAATCCCCAGAAGTCTCCAGAGCAAAGGGCACTCTTTGGGCTAAGCTCAGGAAAGAAGGACTCCTGGGGCTTGGAGCAGACCCCAAGGAGCATGTAGGAGAGGTGAAACCAGAGCCAGCACTTAATTAACCCGGAGCTTCTCAGGGCAAGGGTCAGAACCCCTAAAACCATACAATTCTTACAACATTGCTGTGGAGTAAGATGGGGCCTTTCCACCAGGGTACGGGTCCCTGTCATAGGACACTGTTATTGGTACTGTCACCTGTGTCCTGATGGCCCCTCCTGTCTTCTCTAGGCTGACCTGAGGTGTCAGATTCTATCTGGGAGGTGAGCCAGCTTTCTTTCCGAGAGTTCTGTGTGGCTTCCTTGGTGCGTCAGGCCAGGGTGGGAGTGAGCATTTGTTCCTGTGCTACCCTCACCTTTCCTATGCCCAAAATGTACTAGTCTGAATCAGTGACTCTCATCAGCTTGCAGCCAGAAGGGACCAGAAACCTGTGACACTTGGCTCATGGCCTAATGATAGCAAAACTGAACTGAATGATTCTTTCTAAACCACTGGGAGTTTCAGGAAGCAGGGTGTTGGGTGGGGAAGGTAGAGGCAGGTCAATATGGCACCAGAAGACAGGCTTCAGATACAGTCCCTAATGGGTCATAGGGTGCCTGCTGTGCTAGGGAAACCCATGCTTAACTTCTCTGGTCCTCCCATCCTTCTTCTGTTTTATCTTAGCGTCTTAGTCTTTCTTAGCACTTAGTTTTTTGATTAGCACGATGAGGATAGTTGCCAACTCGCACTGGGGCCTCCTTCCCTGGACTTTCTCACACATATGCCCCACCCCTGTCTTGCCCCACGTGCCTTGGAATAGCTTGCCAGGGGAAGTTGGGGATGAGCACTGGTACCTTCCCTCTGACACCACAGCACCATCTTCTGGACAGCCTTGACCCTTCTGCTGAGGGAGGGTGGCTCAGTGAGAGGGGCGTGGTTTGTACTTACCACTGTCTTTCAGAGCCAACCCTAGTAGCTCAGCCATTGGCTTTGGGCCTAGGGATCTGAGTTCGAGGTATGCTTCTGCCATTTTTTGTTATAAACCTGCTAGAAATCTGTGAATTTATAGACAATACCCGATTCCAAGTCTTGGCTGCAGTGGACACCTTAAGATAACTATGACATCTTTAAGATAGAAGCTTGTGTGGGAGGCAGGAGGCCTGCTTTTTGTCTTGTCTCTTTCATTTGGTGACTTTGGGATGACTAGGTCTCCTCTGTATATGGGAGGGCAGCAGGGTAAGCCAAGCCAAGTGAACCTCAGACTGTGCCATATGAAGTCTGAATCGCCAAGGAGAAGGGGTCTTTTGTTGTTGTTGCGGTTTTTGGCTGGGGCCAGGGTTGAACTCGCCACCTTAGGCATATGGGGCCAGTGCCCTACTCCTTGAGCCACAGGAGCTGCCCAGGAGAAGGGGTCTTGGGAGTTTTATGGGGAAAATAAAACAGAAGGGGCTATTGGAATGGGCTGGGGATATGTTCATGAAACAAGGGTTCTGCAGCTTAATAAAAATAAAACAGAAGGGGCTATTGGAATGGGCTGGGGATATGTTCATGAAACAAGGGTTCTGCAGCTTAACAAGTCAGAGTTGAAAGCCTCTGCATTCTATGGCTCATGTATTCATAGTCTTTTTTTTTTTTTTCCAGTTTTTGGCCAGGGCTGGGTTTGAACCCGCCACCTTGACATATGGGACTGGTGCCCTACCCTTTTGAGCCACAGGCACCGCCCAATGCATTTGTAGTCTTAACTGGCATCAGTAAGTGCCAGGTTCTTATGTGTGGCAGTGAGCCGGTGAGAGCAGCTCACTGCATGTAACCTGTTTCTGATAACCCTGTCTTTCTCCTTGTCTCCCAGGTCAGCAGTTGAGTAGCACGGGCCTGGGAAGGCTTGAAGCCTTCACAGCAATGGCAGAGAAGCGGCCACTGGGGACCCTGGGGCCTGTGATGTATGGCAAGCTGCCCCGCCTAGAGGCAGATGCAGGGTCTGGGCACAGCCTGCTCCCCCCTGCTGGAAGCCAGGACCCCTGCAGCTACAAGGGGGCATACTTCTCCTGTCCCATGGGGGCCACGCCCAAAGCAGGGTCTGAACGGATGGCATCTTGGACCCCATACCCACCATTGTACCCCACCAGCATGGCAGGACCTCCACTTCGGGGAGACAACCTGCTGACCAACTGCCTGCTTTACCGCCCACCCACAGAAGACCCTGAGAAGATACAGGACTCCAGCCCTGTTGAGCTGCCGCCCTTCAGTACCCAGGCTCATTCCTACCCAGGCCCACCACTGGCAGTACCCAAACCTGTCTACAGAAACCCTCTGTGTTATGGGCTCTCAACTTGCCTGGGAGAAGGGGCAGCAAAGAGACCACTGGATGTTGATTGGACGTTGGTGACTGGGCCCCTGTTGCCCTCAGCTGACACACCCTGTTCTTTGGCCCCACCTGCTGGCAAGGGCCAGTCCCTAGATAGCACCTTCTTGCGTGGGGTGCCAGCTGAAGGGTCCAGCAAAGACTCCTCGATGAGCTTCTCTCCATGCCAAGCATTCCTGGAGAAGTATCGGACCATCCACAGCACAGGCTTCCTGGCCTCCAAGTACACAGTTCCTTACTCAGGGGACCCTAAGCAAGCCATGTCCAAGGGATCCTCCAGTCCTTGGACCCAGCCGGCCCCACCCTTGGGGCCACCCTGCCAGGATGTCATGCCCAGCCACTACCCACTGCCCCACCATCCACAGGCCCTGCCTTGTCCTCCAGCCTGTCGCCACCCAGAGAAGCAGGGCAGTTACAGCTCAGCACTCCCACTGCAACCCCTGGGATCCCACAAGGGTGCTGGGTACCAGGCTCGGGAACTTGGTAGCCCCTATCTGAGGCAGCAGTCAGTCCAGACACCCTACATGCCCCCTGTGGGACTGGACACTTACTCCTACCCCTCTGCCCCACTCCCAGCACCCTCACCAGGCCTCAAGCTGGAGCCACCTCTTGCTCCACGGTGCCCACTGGACTTTGCCCCCCACACTCTCAATTTTCCTTATGCCCGGGATGACCTCTCTCTCTACGGAGCATCCCCAGGGCTTGGAGGGATGCCACCTTCCCAGAACAGCTTGCAGGCTGTCCCACAGCCTGGTGCCTTTCAGCGTGTGTGCCAGCCTTTACCAGCCAGCCAGCCATGCTCAGAGCCTGTAAGGCCTACAGAGAAGCCAGCACAGGAAACTGAGGAGAAGATGTGGCTGCCTAGCTGCAGGAAAGAGCAGCTGCAGCCCCGGCTTAATGAGCACCCTGGGGCACCCATTGTCATCCGGGATAGTCCAGTTCCCTGCACCCCACCGGCACTTCCCCCTTGTGCCCAGGAGCGCCAGTCTCTCCCACAGAAGGAGGGTGCAAGACCACCCAGCTCTCCACCAATGCCTATTATCGACAATGTCTTCAGCCTGGCCCCCTATCGTGACTATCTGGATGTGCAGGCACCTGAAGCCACAGCTGAGCCTGACTCGGCTCCAGCCACCAATGAGAGCCATGACAAAGGCTGCAGGGAGACACTGCCTACCCAAGAGGGCCCCTCGGGGGCATACTGTTCACATAAGGAGGAGGTAGCCCTGGACTTGAGTGTGAAGAAGCCCATAGCAGAGGCTTCTCCCATTAAAGTCCATAGTCCTGTGGTACATGTTAAGCCCACTGAAGCCATGGACATGCCAGATGTGGGGAACCCAGTGTCAGATTTGCCAGGCCTAAAAAAGATAGTCACCAAAGCCCCAGGGTTGCCTGGGGAGCCAGAGACCACAGAGACCATGCCAAGGACCAACTTCCATAGCTCTGTGGCCTTCATGTTCCGAAAGTTCAAAATTCTCCGACCAGCACCCTTGCCTGCCACTGTCGTCCCATTCACCTCAGGTCCTGCCCCCCCACCGGTGCAACCTGCCCCCACTCCCACATCTGTACCTGTTGGCCTGCAGATTCTCACTCAGCCCTTGCCTATGGCCTGCTTCAACCTGGCACTGCCCAGCCCTCCAGCCATAGCCATGGCCTCCCCTACCTCCACCCCTGCTCCAGCTCCATCCCTGGCTCCCACTCCAGTTCCATCTCCTGCCCCTGTTCCAGCTCCTGTTCCTGCTCCAGCTTCAGCTGTAGGCCCTGCTCCAGCTTCAGCTGCAGGTCCTGCTCCAACATCTACAGCAGCCCCAGCAGGCTCCCTAGAGCAGCGCTTTACAGGGCTACATGCATCCCTGTGTGATGCCATCTCAGGCTCAGTGGCCCACTCCCCACCGGAGAAGCTGCGCGAGTGGCTTGAGATGGCTGGGCCTTGGGGCAAGGCTGCATGGCAGGACTGCCAGGCTGTACAGGGGCTGCTAAGCAAGTTGCTGTCCCAGCTACGGAGCTTTGTGTATACACAGCAGTGTCCGTTCCCCCACGTGGTGCGAGCTGGTGCCATCTTTGTACCCATCCACCTGGTGAAGGAGCGGCTCTTCCCACGACTGCCACCCGCTTCCGTAGACCACGTACTGCAGGAGCATCGCGTGGAGCTGCGGCCTACCACACTGTCAGAGGAACGGGCATTGCGGGAGCGTGCTCTGCATGGCTGTACCTCACGTATGCTGAAGTTGCTGGCGCTGCGCCAACTTCCTGACATCTACCCGGACCTGCTGGGTCTGCAGTGGCATGACTGTGTACGCCGCCAGCTGGGTGAGCATGGGGCAACCCCAGTAGCCACCAGAGCTGTGTGACACATGGGTGCAATGTGACAGGTGTGTGAGTGGGTTACAGCCAGAGCTGAGAGGTTCTAAGAACTTCCAGAGCAGAGGGCTGGCCTTTTAGGGTGGGCTTTAGGGACCCTTCCTATTTGACCCTCGGCACCAGTGAGCACCTTCGTAGTGTTCTTTGTAGGCTTCTGAACATGCCAGCTGCTCTGATCTGGGACAACTCTTTCTCAGCCTCCTGACAATCTGTCCTTCCTGCTCTGACTCCAGCCTGCAAGAGTTCAGAGCTTGGTAAGGAAGGGACTAGAACACATGGTTCTGCCACTGGCAGGATTTTGGTGTCCCTGTCCCACTTTCTGCCCCATCTTTAGAGGCCACCCCTTTTTTTTTTTTTAAGAGATAGAGTCTCATTTTATCTCCCTCTGTAGAGTGCTGTAGCGTCATAGCTCGCCACCCCATTTTTTTTTTAAGAGATAGAGTCTCATTTTATCTCCCTCTGTAGAGTGCTGTAGCATCATAGCTCACAGCAACCTCCAGCTCCTGGGCTTAGGCGATTGTCTTGCCTCAGCCTCCTGAGTAGCTGGGACTACAGGTGCCTGCCACAATGCCTGGCTATTTTTTGTTGCAGTTTGGCTGGGGCAGGGTTTGAACCCACCACCCTTGGTATCTGGGGCCGGCACCCTACCCACTGAGCCACAGACACCACCCTAGAGGCCACCCTTCTAGACAGTTACTTCTGTCCTCATTTCTCATGGGCTCCTATGCTTCCCCACTACTCTCCTTCCTGAGAGGTATGCTCTTGCTCCCTCTGCTACCTCCACCCTCCTCCCTCCAGGCATTGCATTCAGGGTGGGGCCCTGCCAGGTTGGGCCCTGGCTCTTGTTTCAGCTCTGCAGGCCATATGCAGAAAGGTGATGGCTCTCTTATGTATGGCAGGGCCCTCTCTTTCTATGCCTCAGTTTCCCCACTTGAACACTGGGGCTTTAGACCAGGCTAATGGTTCCTGGCCTTCTGGGTTCCCTCCCTCATCTTGTACCCAAGGAGCCTCCCTTGAGCAGTGCTCTCATCAGATACAGAGTTCTGGTGTTATCTGGGGAGAAATACCTTTTTGGTTTGGATGGTCTGGCCAGTGGACACATGTGGAGAAGAGTTGTGATATCTGGCTCAGCACCTATAGCTCAACCAGCTAAGGCGCCAGCCACATACACCTAAGGTGGCGAGTTCGAATCCCCAGCCCGGACCCGCCAAACAACAATGACGGCTGCAACCAAAAAAAA